TGAACGTCTGCGGCATGCAAGATATGATAATTCGTAATAAACAAAAAATTAACAAGTGTCAGGTGTTGGTTAGCTAAGCAGAGGCTGTTAAATATGATAGCTAGTATTATGCCTTAGACGTGGACACTTGAGACCCACAGTAATATATGAATAGTTTGGAATTTACAAATAGCTTTGTAAGAGACCATTTTCGGTAGTTAGATAGGGCGAAGTGGTGGTGTTAATAGCTGTTATCAAATTAGTGCAACATTTGTGCGAATTGGTTGAAGTTGATATCAAGATAATGGATTACACTACGGAGAAGTGGTAAAAGATTTAGAATATTGTGTTATGGTACTAAGAATTTAAGTCTAAACTTTATAAATATTTTTACTTATAAACAATGCGACATAGTATGTGTTACAGTAGGCTCAGAGCAATGCTAAGTAGAATAGTTTAGTTAAAATTGTTTGTCTTCTTAGGCTCATTTCCGCTATCCCATAATCATGATAATAATTACAAAGCAATAAGAAATAATGGTGTAGTTTACAGATCAGTACTCTTTTAATGGTATCCTGGCTTCATTAAATATCACGAGCGAATAAAATTCAATAATAAATATCCTGTAGAAGTGGGTTAACGAAGATGTCTAGCCCTCTCTCTTACTTCTTACAATTGGTGTGTAACTTAGATATATTTAAAATGCGCCTACATGTAGGCCATCTTTTAGTGGAAGATTTTATTAACTTTAAGAAGAATACTAGGAAACTTGCCTAGACTGAAAAACGAATTTGGGCTAAAGCAAAACTATTCGACATTGACATATAAACTTATGGACTCAATTTAGATAATATGACTGGCAAAGTTTAAAGTCGGATCTAAAAATTATATATCTATTTTGAATACTATATACTCGCCAGACATTTAAACTTTATAACATCTCTCATATAAGCTTTAACCAAAACAACCATAGAAATTAGAGGAAACATGAATGGTGCTCATCATTTTAGTTTTTTATAAACTTATTACCTTAATTGAGCTGAGTTTCAAAATTCGAAAACAAGTACTTAAGATCAAATTTGACACGGACTGGGCCATATAAACAATAAGCGCAAACCAAATCGATAGATTTTTAGATTGATACAATTTTTTTTATGTTCGTGTGCTGTTTGATCTCTATACGTCAATTAGTATGTGCTTGACAGCTGTTTGTTTACGACGCGAAAGGCGTGTTGGAGGTTCAAAAAACGAAGTAATTACTTTTTTAGTTAGGGTTCATTGTTGCGAAAATTGGTTTGCAACACTCAGAAAAAAAAACGATCTTAGCCTCTTGAATATTGGCAAATCGAACAAACAATTGGTATAAGCAAAAAAACAGATAGAATAACTAGCGGTTATAACACTTTAATGAGCTATCTCATGTTTATATTGAATTAAAGTGGAAAGTTTTGTTATTGCTTTCACATTTCAAGCTTAAAGTTTTTAGTAAAAGAACCTCAACGAGCAGAGAGTGGCGAATCGAAAAGCATAGTACAATGATTTATTTAAAAATTAGTTCAAGTTGCTGTATTAGATTTTAATGCAAACATTTTTTATAAAAATCTGAAAGTTAATTATTGTAAATGTAAAAACTATGTTGATTTCAAATTCAATGTTAAAATACGGTAATTTAGTATTTTTCAATAAAACAAAAACAACTGCCAGTGTTGAACGTGGCAACACAGCACGCCAATAACAACTCCGACTGCCGTCTGGGTAGCAATATTGACTTTTAACTGGCCATTAAAAGGTTGCACATTGCATTTAATAAATAAACAAATGGCGCACATGTAGGTGTATGTATATGTGTGTGTATTTGGGTATTGTATATTTTATAATAAAATAAAAAGTGCTCGCATACAAGTTTTCAATGAGACAAGGAAAACTCTCAGTTGAAGTTCAGGGTAGTCCGAGCACAATGTTGACTATTTAATGTTGTTGCAATGCCATTCACAGTTATTGGCGTGATTTATTTACCCACATAACGGTGCACATGTATATATGTATGCAGTGGGGCAGTGAGTGCATAGCGTGCCACAATGCGGGATTGTGGAGTTTTTAGCACGATTAATGGGCAAATATTTACATTTTTGCATGCAAACACACACACATGCATGTGTAGATATGCATACAAAAATAATATATATATCTACATAGATAGACATGTGATATATACACATATACATAAACACAATATAATAACAGTTTGTGTTGATTTGCATGCCGTGAAGTGGCGCGAGATGCTAGGCCATAATTTGCTTGTGAAAATTCGTGAAATTGAAAGGTGAAATCAATAGATCTAGGAGAGCAGGAAATAGCACAAATAGACCAATGCTAGCGAGGTAGTGAGTTCGCTCGAATTTGTAGCGAAATGTGCACTCCAACCCAACTGAAGTTCGAAGCAAAGGATGCTGTGGACTCAAGGTATTGCTGGCATGCTTATATGAACTTAACGCCATATACATATGTATGTTTATGTGTGTTTGGTCAGTTTTGTGGTGATTAGCATTGAGGAAGTTGCACACACATTTTTGTTACCTTAATGGCAAGGTATGTGAGTAGTGCTAGCTATTTATGGGATTTATGATATCAAAAAACCAAATAATCAAAAATTGGGAAACTCATAACTCTAGGGTTATGTAATATTCCCAATTATTTTTTTAATATTTTTTGAAGATATTCATATATATTAAAAAATATATATTACAGGAAGTACTTATTATGAAAATTTTCGTTGATTGATCTCAAAGAGTAATTGACCTGTAAACTCGCCTTTATAAAAATTTGGTTCCTATTATACAACAAATGCGTAATTATTTAAAAATTTCTTTACCATGCAAATGAGGGTTGTATTCACATCCTATTCATATTAGTGGAATTACTATTGTCTTTCAAGATATTACAGGTTGTACCCTACTTAAAATTAAAAAAGAGCACTTGAAAATAATATTGACAGCCTAACAACGAGCCGATTTAGGTACTATATTACATAATGTTAAGGTCAACATATGGAAGACCCTTAGAATTTCGCAAAAATAATCAAAATTTTTATTAGCAATGTACTCAAACGTTGATAATTTCATACAAAGTTAACCTACAATTTTGTAATATCTGAAACTAGGTTTATCAATAGTATATACACCGCTATTATATGGACTTGACGCATTCAACATATTTCTAATTTGTCAAGATTGACAATTTATCAAGATTTTTCTATTCTGTGTCGTAACTCAAAAGCTATTTTTTCCCTCATGCCCCATATAATAACCAAAAAACTATAGTAGTTCTAGCAGCTCTAAACTTTTTTTCGGCACGGCTCATACTAAAAATATGTACGCAACAACAGGCAGAAATCAGCTGTTTCTGCTTGCATAATTTTATTCAACACGCATGTGGAAGAAACGCTGCATTGTAAAGCTTTATATTTTATCAATATTGTCACAGAATAACCAAAAGCTTTTTTACTTAATAAAAATTTGGACAATTTGTCAATATGCTGTTAATTTGTCAGCGCACAGAATAGAGAGGGTAGTTTTAAAAAATCAAAGTAGATCATAACAACAGTGTTTCCCAATTTTTTTTTAGCTTGGTTTGCAAACAAAAACTTTCATTTTAAAAATCAAGAGTATATATTTGAAGTAACTTTTTGAAACAAATTTCTTTAGATATACTGTGTGCTTCAACTGGTATTCGTTTTTTATTTTTATTATACCCTGAACAGCGTTTATAAATTTTGCCACTATATAAATATACCCACAAGGTAACGTCTGATACCCTATAAGGTACGTATACTATAAAAATGATCAGCGTGATATCTGAGTCGGTTTAGCCATGTCCGTTTATGGTATACGCGAACTAGACTCTCAGTTTTTCAGATATTTTGGCACACATCCTTTTCTCACTAAGAAGCTACTCATTTGCTGAAACCATTGGACAACCATAGGATATAGCTGCCATACATAGTGAACGATCAAACTCAAGTCCTTGTGCGAAAAACTCTACTCCTTTATTTGTCAAAGTATCTTCACGAAATTTGGCACATATTATTATCCAAGACATCGCTACAATCTTCGAACATATTGTACAGATCAGATCACTATAGCTTAAAGCTGTCATCGGATCGATCAAAATGAGAATAAGGATATTTTTATACACATTCATGTCATAGAAAAGAACTTGTAAAGGGTATTATAGCTCCGGTTCAGCCGAAGTTAAAGTTTTTTTTCTTGTTTTGTTTGGCAAATGGCAACTCTGCTTTATTTTTTTTGTGTATTTAATTTCAAAGTATTTGATAAGTATTTCAGTTTGATACTAAATAATATCATGTGTACATACGAGTATTTGAATCCTACAGTGGGAGATACAGGAAATAATGATGATATTTTTAAATGTGATTGAAATATATCAGTGTTTTTCAAACTTTGTATATTTTATGTTTTCTAATTGTGCTCAGTTCCTGCTATTTATAATATTTTTCATGTTTTTCGGTTTGTGGCAATTCTTGAATTTTGTTGAAGTAATTTATAAGTACTTTCCTTTGATACTAAAATTTGCATATGTATGTATGTTAATATTTGTATAATATATTGTTTGGATTAGAGTACGAAAACTTTTTCTACACTTTGAGTGACAAAAATTCTAATTCTAAATTTGCATTTGAGTAGCCAATTTTCTATCATTTAACTATATATAGAACACCTGCTGCTAGCTATTATTATGTGACACACACAAGTTAATTTTATTTTATATTTTCTGCTTTTTTTCAAAACATGAAACAAGTGGTGTCCATTTAATTAACCGCACTTGACGTTCATGCCACAACTGATCAGCATTTCGAACGCAAATGGCAATGCAAATGCAAAGGTATATGAATAAATAAATAAATTGAAATTAGCTCACGACTTTTTATGGCATTAAAATTAATAAGTAAAGACCCGAAATTTCCCAATTTGCATTCACTTTTGGCGAAATGTAGCACTTACACTTTGATTGCAGGCACCTCGGCGCTTTAGTGTGTGTGTGTGTGTGTGTATGCAGGTGGGCGAAAAAAATCGAACTGTGGGTGTATATGTGTGTGGGCGCTGTTGAGTAGTCGAACTCCACTTCAATAAAGGGTCACCAATCAGGAGGCAGGTGGTGCCACGAAGCCAATCGATGATGTTGCAGCTTCTATCAAAAGTATGTGTGTATGTGCACTGTTTATTGCACACTTAGATGTAAGGCACCGACAACAATGGCGAGGCAAGTGAAGGTGCATCTGTTTATCACTTTACCGTTACGAAATTTGCGCAATCTTTGTTTGCTTGTTCCTTTTTCTTCGCTTGTTTACATTCACTTCTCGTCGTTTACAACACAAGTGCTCCGTATTTGCTGTTGTTGTTGTTGTTTTTTGTTAATTCATGTACTCGTAAATCGACACTTTATTTGAATGATCTTTTTCCCGTCGCTCTTGCAACGTTCTAAGTTGGTTTTTGGTGTTTTGAAACTTTTTGCGCACTACCGTTTTAAACTGCTCAACAGTTTGACATCGTTTGAAGTGCTCGAAACCGAAGCGCACTTCTCATAGTTGCCCAAAGTTGTGGTAGTTGCTGCAGATGCACAAAAAAAAAAGAAGATTATTTATAATAACCGTGATGACAGCTGTAGCAGGTGGCGGTTCTCGGCTGACAGCTTAGATTGCTGTGCCGAATGTCACTTCACCCACTGATGGGTGAATATGTCGGCTTTGCATTAATTGCATGATACATTTTACAGATAAAGTCATATATTTATATATATGTTTATTTTACTTATATTTAGTAAGTTTGTTAATGCTTACAAGAAGTTGAGGTGGTGGTAGTTAAGTAGAAGTCGGTGCAAATAAGCTTGCTTCGGAATAAGAGCCACTGATAATAAAGAAATTTAGCTCTATCTATTTGATTAATTAGAAAATACATGTAAAAGATAATGAAAGAGGTTTAACTCCGATTAACTACGAACCCGGTGACCTAGAAATTACAATAGTAGAAATAATCGGATTCGCAAAACAATGCTCATAAACTTCAGAACATTAACGAAATGATAGGCAGGTTCATTAGCTTTAAAATAATTTTGAACACGTTATCTATCCAAAACTTTCGTCTTATAAAGCATTCATTTTACATGTCTTGAATTTTTCAATGGCTTAAAGGTCTGTAGGGATGAAATTGTTGGTTTAAGAGAGTCCCTTAGCAATATCCGCATGCAACTTTGCACGAATAGTGCCTTTGAGGGGTGAACCACAGTTCCTATTGCGAACCTTTTGTCGAAAATATCGGTCAATCTGTGATATGTATTATAGAAATTCGGAGATAATCTCTTTTTGATTATAGTATGACTGTATGTAAGAAATAGGTTGAATCGGATCAATAATTCCCTTTCTGACTGACTCTGTACCAAATTTGTCGTATGGTAGTTATCTTTATAAAATTGAGAGAACATATTTCTAAAAAACTTGCCCTTGACTCCATATAACTAATGTCAGGATTTCCAAACATTTAGTTGATTTTACTCCTCATATATTGGTAATGGTCAGAGAGTATCTTTTTCCGTTAATAATGTGTGCATACTTAAATCGGTTCAAAACTACCTCTATCTCCCACGGCTTCATACCGTGTATATTGGTCCATAAGTAAGATACCTTAGCAAAATAACCTGAACGTATAATATTGGATATACTATAGTTTGATGCTGAAAATATGTGAAATTAGTCCACGAATTATCTAAACTTATTTTAATAAACCTTACGCACCTGGAGGTATTTCCCCGACCTTGATTCTGGGAAGTTGCAATAGTATGAAATGTTAGCTTAACCCTTGTTGTTAATGATGAGTTTGTTGAGCTAAAAGTTATAGAATTTTTTCACTTTAAATAAGTCACGGTTAAAGAATTTACAGTGCAAAAAAAAAAATACATTTTCTTTAACTCGTCTTAAACTCTATTTTGCCGGGATTATGAACATACATCTCTTTTTCGGAGCATTTTGAAAAATATTAGCTTTATTTTATTTATACTAAAATATAACACGAACACAGACGAAAAAAAAACTATTTAATTTACTAAAATTATTTCAGTTTGAATAATAAAAATAATTTAGGTTAAAATTTTAAAAATAAATTTTCGTATTTTATAAAATTGGTTTATAGTTATTAGGTTCCACCCTAATGTATAAGTTCTTTTCGCATTAAGCGCATGCTTTTTCTTGCAGAATGGCGATGGTGTCTTCATTAGCTTGAAATAAATTTCAAATCACGAGCCTGCGGATTTAAATTGTTTACATTAAAGCACACACACACACACACATCTGCATATACATATGGCAGCCAGACATGCGTTTGTATTTTGTATATATTTGGTTCATGGCAGAGCTAAAAATAATCGCATTCTTAATCGCAAAAAACTAAATTCATAAGCTCATTTTTAATGCGAAAAGCGGCGTTGAATGCAGACAATTTTACCGAGATATTTGAGCTTTGCTTTGCTGCTGGCAGTCTGGCCTTGTGCGTGTGCAAGTGTCGCTTTGCATAAAACTAAAAATGAATTGCGCCAAATCTGAGTGTGTGCAAACAAACATTAATAACGCCTTCAATATTATTGGTGATGTTTTGTTGAATATTGCAATGTATTTTGATGCTTTTGTTGTTCTTCTGATTAATAATTGGGATACACTTATATAATGTAAGAAATGGAGTTATAAGAATGTGAAAGATCTCAAATATAACTTTATTATAGAACTTTCAAGTTGAAACATTAAAATAAATCACGAACTTGAACCCAGCATCTTTGATAAAGCGAATTTCATTTATAATAGAAAACTTGTAAATCTTTCGTTGTCATAAAAAAAGGGTCCCTGGAAATTATCATAATATTATTACCTGATTTTGGTATATCCTTGTTGACCCAAAGGAAAATTTACCATTTTAAGATGGACGCATATCAGACAGTTATGTACTATGTATTTGATTTTCTCCATGATCAAGGTTATTGAGGGATATTTCGCTTAAAATTTTGTGGAATGTGCAATAAGCAAACAGTCCATTTTATTTCCATTATGTAAGAGCACACATTTAAGATTACGTTTCAACGAATCAATAAATAAACACCAATCTCTTGGATTATAGTTTATTAATCCCTATTCAACCATTAACCTGGGAATATTGTTGCAAAATACAAAATCATCTTCCTCAGAAAAAAAAGGAATAAAATGTTTTTCTCTTGTTCGGTAAACTGATACCTTAGTCTCTGGAGTTATGAGATTTTTTTCTTCAAGTCGTGAAGCAAGGAGTTCTGATCCCTTCATTGATAGCCTAATATCTCTTATCAACTCATCCAGGTCATTTTGGTTGAATAGTCGCGGTTCAGACGTACTCGGGAAAGAAAATTCGCTGTCCTAATCATCATCGTCTGAGAAAACTTGTGGTGTAAAATTTGAATTAGGTTGCGCTTCAGCCACAGTTTCTACACTGGTATTTAGGATTGGTTTAATGGCCGATTTTGAATTAGGGTAAGTCCATTTGGAACAATTTTTGTTGTTTATTCCGATAATATTCACAAAGCAAAAATAACAATCATCATGATGATTAGTCGGTTCACTCCAAATCATAGCACTTTTAAACTTTAAAGTAGATCTCTTTTTATTAGCCCATAAACGCAATGCTGTTACGCACCTACACAAACAGCATAAAAACTAAATGATCCATTAAACAAGTTCTTCTTAATTTAGATATAGCGGTTTATTTATGAAAATTAGTAAATTTTTGCCCTTAAAATTAATTCAAGTAAGCCGAGTAACGATATTTCAAGAAGTATCTATATCACTAAAACTAGAGCTGCTAGAAAGAAATTGAGGGTAGGTTTGGGATCAGCGATGCCAAATTAGTAAGAAACGGTTTATAAACTTCATAAAACAAAAAAGTTCAGATTAGATCACAATACCATATAGTTTCCTTACATACTGAACGATCGGAATCATGTTCTTGTAAGGAATATTTTGTAATTGTGATGTGTATTACAGCTATTGTTTATTGATTTATAAGAGTACATTACTTCCTCATAGCAAGAGGTTAGGTAAAATTTACATAAATTTTCTGTTCAATAAAATGCATATACAATACAAAATTATAAAATATTTAGAATTTACAGCATCAAATTTGTCTCTATATACAGTCAGTTTCATACCACTCATAGCTCTAACATGCACAGTATAACTTTTTTTTGTATTTTTTTTTAACTTTAGTTTAATATAATTTAACTTAACGACAAGAATGATAGATTATTTCTCTAATTTTAGTCTGGTGAGCGAATCCGTATTAATTCATATTTCTCAGTGCGAGGGATTCTCATTAGATTAGCTTTATTTTGCATCTTCAGCATCGCAAAGATAAGAATAGGTCCGTTGAACTCTGCCATTATGTCCTGAAAGTACTTTATTCTAGTTTGCTCATATCTCTGGCACTTTATTATGTGGTGTAACATTTTTTTGTGCTTTGTTGCCCACACGCTTCACATGGACTATTAGTATTGAGTTTATAGCTTATGCACATTACTCTTGTCCAAATCCTTTCCATTTTTATTGAATAAGAAGAAATTTTTAAAGATTTTTTAAAACTGACGAGCCCGTGATCAAATTCTCTCTTAGTAAATCATTGCTCTTCATTGCATAAGGCTATACACAGAGAAGAGTGAAGAGTAAGGCAGCAAAGCACAAAAGAACTGTACAAGCGCTTCTACAAAAGGGTTTGTATAAAAACTATTAATTTTACTACAAACAGATGATTTTTATATTATTATAACTATACTAAGAGAACTATAACTAATCCAATTCAATAACTTGTTGTCATTTTGAACGTAATTTCATAATACCACTCTCACAGAAATTCTCGTTCCTTTTGGAAAACACCGATATTGTCGATTTTAACAAGCTTTTCTTTAGGCGAACCAGACGTGGATGATTAATAAGCTGCCAACCTCACTATCGATGTGTGTGGCTTCGTGTTACGCTGATAGAACGCAATCCTCGTCGCAATGGCCAAAGCTGGTTACTTGGAGGCGATTACTACCTTTAGACGGTCCAATTGTTGACAATACAGGGCCGAATTAAGAGGTTGGCCGTAGCGGAGCAGCCGATAGTAGATTACTTGCAGCAAAACGCATCAAACACATAGCAAAACCTTCCTGAACGTCAATCTTTTTGTGACTCTTTGTCCAAAAAAATAAATATAATATATTGTATTTCAACCATTAATTTCTATATTCACTTCAAAAATTCTGCCTAACAACTAAAATCCAAATAACATCAAAACAGAATTATACACCGAAGAAGCGCAAACAGTTTTTCAGCAACTTGTTTTGTGATTTATTGGACTCAATTAAATTTACTAGGCTAACAAACACAACAAAAACATGCAAAGCACAAATCGAACGAACGCAACACAACAATCGTGAATTATGTGCGATGTATACCAACGAGTAGACCGAAAATTAAATCAGCGCAAACATAACAGTACGTATGTACAATATATAGAGGTCTGTAAATGCAGAGGCCTTGCAATAAAGAATTGTGCGCGAATTCGTTAACAACGAAAATGCTAACAAAACACCCACTTAACTGAACCCATTTAAATGGGCGCATACATACATATATATACACGCATATGCACTTGCGATTAACTATCAACAGTGTGTTTTTGGTGTTTGTATACTCCCGCTTGTTGCTGTTAATCAGCCCATATTGTACTCCATTGTATTGAAGTGGGAGCACACGTTGTAGATTGTAGGTTATTTCGAAATTGTTTGATGCTTTTTTGAATGCACGCTCGGCACGGGCGAGTGCGTGCTGCCACACATTTATATACATACATTTATTTATTTGTGGATCAGTTGCATATGAGTGTTAGCTTGGCTGTATTGAAAGACTAAAAACAGTCAATAACCGCAAACATCTTTTGTTTCAAATACTGTATTAGCAACGACAATAATGTTAAAAAATTTAGTAATCCTTTCATGTACTTATAACTTAAAAGGGTGTAAAAATATCTTTATCTGGATTTTGATCGGTCAGTTTGTATGACAGCTATATGCTATAGTGTTCCGATCTGAAAAATTTGTTCGTAGATTGTACCGTTGTCTTGAAGAATACTCCATGCAAAATTTCGCGAAGATACCTTACTAAATAAAAAAGTTGTGTATATAAGGACTTGATTTTGATCAAAAAGTCTATATGACAGCTATTTACTACAGTAATCCGATAGCCTCTAGGATATCCAATATTATACGTTCGCTTAATTTTGCTAAGATCTCTTATATTTGACTAATAAATACGGTCAACCAAGAGTTTGAGGTTTTTATATTAGGTATATAAAGGAGCTAGGATAATTATTAACCCGATTTTATCGATTTTGGCATATAGTCGACCTGAAGTTTGAAAATCTCTATCTTAGTTATATGGGGACTACAGAATGTATTGAACTGATTTTTCCCAGTTTTGACCCAAGAGCACACTATTTTCAGAAAACAATTCTCTCCTATAATAACCTCATTGCAAAAATATATTTCACAGATTTTCCGACTTTTTCGAAAAAACGTCAGCTATTAGCACTGATATCCACATATTCGGTCTCTGGGGTGTTAAAAAGTTTTAGCCCGTTTTCGATAATTTGCATGGTCAAACAAAACATAAACATCTTCCAGACAGTTGCTTTTATTTCTCACAACACTGTACGTACATAAATTAAAACACGCTTACATTTTTACAAAAAAGATATGTTTATTTTCGTACCTAAAGCTGAGTACCTCCAAACATACATACATATAAGTACATATGAGTATTGCTTGCTAACATATCGAGATTCTCCTGCACGCATTGGTTTACTCATCTCACGTTTTCGTATTAAATTGACTTTGGCACGTTCACTCTTTGTCGATTGCGCATTGTTATTGTACTTTGTGGGCTATGTGCAAGCACGTGAAATTGCAACACTGCAAGCATGAAAGGGAAAAACTGTTTACAAAGTAAGCAAAAACTGAAAAAATTGAAAAATTAAAAAAATTTAGAATGTGATGTTTCGTTTTGGAAAAAAATTCAAGAAATTTTAAAATTTATTATTAGAGTTTAAAATTCGGGTCCTAGAGCTAATAGTTATCTGTGATAAAAAAAACTGCTTAATTCCAGATCATAATTTATTATTAATGTTTACATATGTAGAAAACATTTAAAAAACTTGGAAATATTACAGTAGCATAAAATTTAAATTTTAAAAGTTTTATACAAATTCTTACAAAATAAAATAGGACAAACCTTTTTTGAAGGCATTGCACCACTTTTACCCTCATAAAGTCCGAATATTTTTGCTCTAATCGAATAATATTTTAGATAACCCTTTTTATATAGTAATCGAGAGTTTCAAAACTAATGTCCTAATTACATTTATTGCAACCAATTACCTGCATACTACCGCTTGCCACAGAAATTATGAATAAACTGATATTATATGGTTAATGCGAAAAATATTATATTTGTATGTGTGCAAGGCGAGACTTATCAATATTAAACCACAAATTGCAAATCATTCCCGCATAAACAAGCGATTAAAATTCAGTTAACAAGTTATCGCCTTACAAAACCAGCATTTAATTCAGTTTCAGCATTACTGTGCGCGGTTGGACTGTAATGGCTCCGAAAGATAGGGAGTAAGTTATTATTATTGCGCGAAATCATTACAAAATGTATAAAGTAAACGCTACTGAACACTCGTGTTCACGTTTTCACATATAAGAGATTCTACAAAATTTAAAGGAATAGATATTTATTAAAGGATTTTGTACCTAATCTGAACCAAACGGAAACAGTTGAATACCAGCGGTCACCGGTGCACCGTGATTTTACCACGACCTTTTTCACTTGACCTTGTTGTTGTAAGTGACCCTATTTTTATCACCAGTAACCATCCACTTTAGGAATGGAACGCTTTTGTTGCAATTCAGCAGCGATTCGCTGATGGAAATTCGGTTCGTTAGGTTTCGCCTAAACTCAGGTGGAATCCATACATCGAGTATATGACGATTTCCATTATTTTATCGATATTTTCGACATTTTACCATCCAGAGCATAGTGCATATTTGACATTAAAATTACCGAAACGAAATTAACGAAACCAAAAATAAGAGTATGAAAACCATAAAAAATATTCAGAACTTCAACCAACTTGCTTTAGTCATTGTCGAAGAAAACTGCTACATTTTGCGTATATTCTCTTTGCTGATCTCCAAACGAGTGTTCAAATATTACTGAGTGAAGTAATCAAAAAATTATCTGCGAATTTCTTTTTCTACGTCATGTTATTTTTCTAACGCGGTATAGCGCAACTCGAGAGAATTTGTTCAACCAGAGACACAGATTACTAATGCCAGCTATTAGGAAAATAATGGACTTGTTTTTAATAGACCTTATATAAAGAGAAGTCTATTCGTTTTCAATACCAAGTCGAAATTCCGTCCTAGAGGATAGAATTTGTCCATTCATATGAAATTGAAGTTTGTTATGATTACCTCATATCAGTTTTAAAATTACAATTTATATCCATTTTATTAGTACCCACGAGTATCTACTCATCATCAGCAATCAACCGTCGATAAAAGGTGCAATTGAGTTGACGAAAGGATTCTATTTCTGGCAGCACTTTTTTGTTATTTTAACCTAAACGATAAATATTTTTTCCTAGGTTGGTACAACCTTTTTTTTGTGTGTGTGAAATTTGATCTAAATATGTCTATAAGTATAGGTTTGGTTTGGATTTGCTTGGCAATTTTTACAATTTTATCCGTAAAATAAAGTTAGAACAATAATTTTGGTTGAAATTGTTTGTTCTCAATGGAATCACGCATACCTAATTGTGGAAAATGTTGTATACGTGTTTAAGATAGTCTACTTATCATTCAGTAAAGGTCGTGAAGTCATCGAAAACTTGCCTCATGCGAGTCGTTCAGCCACCTCCGTTAATGACGCAAACATTGAAAAAGTTCACGGAAAAATGCTTGAAGATCCTCGTGTTGGTATAAAAGATATAGCAGAGTATCTCAATATCTCTTATGCATTAACTCAACACATTTTAGTTAATGTTTTGTGGATGAGGCTATCAATGCTCAACCCATACCAAAATACTTGTAAGGACCGTTTTATTTAATCATGATTGTAACTGACTTTGTGACTAACCATGAAATAGGAGTTATCGCTGAGCTATCGTATTCGCCGGATTTGACTTCTTCTGATCCTTTTCTGTTTTCGAAACAAAAAATCCGCCCGCTACTGGGAACGCCACGTGTCCAGAGAAACCTACAATGACATCAACATAACAAGTAAATAACAATTCGATTCAATTGATTTATTGATTAACCCATTTCAATTAATAGATTGTGCTCATTGCACTCTATTTGCAACAGTAAATGACACCAATAGTTGTGAAAAGTAATTATAATTGATGATTTGAAATTATTTGTTCTCCTTCTTTGCTGCAATAAATTGTCTTTCACAGTTTTTATATGCGATTACCATTTACCATTTGACTTCCAGTTTTTTACCATATGATTAATAAATGAACAGCAAATGGTTCCTTTAGAAAAAAATTCTCTATATGCTGCGACATTATGTCCATTTCACTTTATTATTTTCCGATTGATTGATCGTTTTTATGAAACTTTTTAAAGTTGTCTATAAAAAAGTGCAAACATTCCGCTAACTATTGTGCAATATTCACCGATAAATATTTTGCAAGTTTTTATATAAAGTAGATAAATTACCACGCACGCAACCAAAGCCGGCAGACAAGTAGTAATGAAGGTGAGAACAATAATAAGTGCAGAATAATGTAAGTCTTTGAAGGCACGCCCAATTTAATATATCTTTTAATACATTGAATAATTGATTAAACCAACTTAAATTACAAGCGAATCGTTAACACAATTCCAAATTTTTCACTTAATTTATGTGTTTAATTATTATTCTTTGAGGATCTAATTTTAAAGTTATAAAATATAGGCTTTGAGTGGCAGCTTTAAATTTCTTAAAATCTGTTTGTTTGTTGTTCCTGTATGTAAATTAATATAAATATTAATACATTTGGTTAATTTATTGGTTATATAAAACAAAAAACAATAGAGTAGTTGAAAATTAGTTGACAATATGAAATTTTATATAGATATTTGAACTAAAAGCAATATTTGAAATTAAATAAATTCTTCGCCAATTATTTCTTATGTTTGGAGGAATATTAACCAGTAACTGTATATAATGTCGAAACTTTCAAACATTTTCCAAACTCACCGGAAATGTAACATTAAGCGAAACTTTTTAAACGCGCCTAAATGTATGCAATTTAAATTGAGTTAGAGCTTAGCTTGGCTTTTAAGCGTAGTCTTATCGTCAACACGAACCTAAGAAAGTTTTGAAGGTACTGTTGTTTTTATATAGGTATGTCAATGCTATCAGTTCCTAGTCAGGCCATAGGAACAAATTTTTTGTTAACTATTACTATTATTTAAATGGTCAATTATTTGGCTTTTTAAAGGATAGGAAATAATTAAAGTTTTGCTGAACTAAAATATTCCTAAATCTTTCACAGATACAGTAAAATTAATTCGTTAATAGCTTAATAATAATAAATGGCAGCGAAAATATTGCATTTAGAAAATTTAGATTTAGTAAATGCAAAGCGAGAGGTTCGAAACAAACCTTTTTTTAGCGGTACCGAGCGCTCGACCTATTTTTATTCTACCAGTGTAGTGTTTAAGCATAACCTTAGGGCAGAATGAATAAATTTAAAGTATTTATGTTTACAAATTTTATAATACACATACTCATGTAGCTAACATATAGCATTCAGAATTGATCAACTTACTTTACTATAACGTTGTCTACTTTTTTTTACCCGAAGGTCGTAGCTTAGATATGGGCTTGTGGCGTAACTGCATATAATTTTCACTTGATTTTTTTTTTTTGGCAATTTTCGATTTTAATATTCTACATAATTGAGGGTACGATAACCGCTTAATTCTCCAACTTTTCGGTCAACCAAAATCATTATGTAGAGTTTGTATACCTTGAACAGGGTAAATAAAGTTTGCTGCGAATTATGTAACACCCAGGAGGAAAAGTCAGGTACACTATAAAGTATATACATATGTATATAATATCATCGTGACAAGCTGAGTCGATTTAGCCATTTTCGTCGGTCTGCCTACAGCTTTTGAGATATTAATCTGAAGTTTTCCTTTTCAGTAAAGGATGCCCGATATCAAAACATTAAAGCATATAGTTGCTATAAAAACTGACCCATCAAAGACAAGTTTTTGTATGGAAAACTTTTTTATTTGTATATAAATAGTATTTCATTAAGAAAGACATTTTTTTTCTTCCCTTTTTAAATGCGAAGCTTAAATTGATTTAACTAGAAACACATTTCCAGACATATATAAATCCTGTAGGTCGGATTTTCGCAAAACACATGATCAGCTCTGGCGACACTCTTTCATTGTAACGAAACGAATTCCAGTGAATTTTTGTAATTCAACACATTTATGTATTTTTCTTGCTTATAAACTTTATGCTCTCATCTGTAAAAGTTTTGGTTATATTAGCCTTGAAGTTTGACTAATAAATCTGCCACGTTGCTGTATAATTCGTTAAAAGTAAGATATCGGAGATAGATAGATCGAGTATATTTCATGTGTATCTAGCCTACCTGTCATAACTATAAGCAATCTCACTTCTGTCACTAAAATATTTCTGCTATGGATTTTTAGTAATTTTTGTATGATGAAAAATTCATGATTTGTTTTTATTTGTTTTGTCGCGCCATTACCGCTATGATCGCTAGATAATGGAAAAAACCCTAATACCGTAAAATAAATCAAAGAATTTCAATTAATTTTTGAGTATTCGTTTTATTGTCGCGTTACAAAAAAAAATTATTTTATTACAAATAAAGAGAATTACATATAAAATGATATATTATACATCATCTTCTTCACTTACATACATACGTTTGTTATAAATATTATTTTGTTACAAGAATGGTGGATATACGTACGGCAATGAAAATTTAAAGCTTGCACACAATAAACATAACGTACAACAACCAATAATAAAATAAAAATATGTATAAAAAAAAACTAAAAATAAACAATACAAACTTATAAACTACTTTGATGGACATTGGCGGTAAATAGCTTCAGTTATAAAATATTCGAAGATTTCAAAGCATTTGGCGAGTAAGTTGTAGGCAGTAAGTATGGAAGATATACGTAGAAAAAATATAGTGGCTTAAAGTGTCAACTGCTGATGAACGAACGCAATTAACGGAGCCGAAAAGAGTTGTACTCAGCTGAGAGCGCTGCTTCCGCCCGCTCAATAATGACCGCCATAGTGACCGCCATGGTGTCCACCGTAGTGTCCGTCGTAGTGAGCGTTGTAGCCGGCGCCGCCACCATAATGACCGCTGTATTGGGGCACGTATTCGTATTGAGCACCATGACCGTAATCGTCGTAATCGTAGTGGATGGGAGCGATGGGTGCGTATGGTTTGGGGGCTGCAAGTGGAAAAGGTGAATTTTATAAAAATTTTATAACAAATAAATTGCAAAAAAGTGGTGGTTAGAGATTTCTAAGGAAATGTTTATAAAATTTGATTACATATTTATATACAAATATTTTTATTAATACAGCAACAAATATCTGCACTTTATACTTCGTAAATATTTACAAACAATCTACTAACAAATAAATTTTCATATATTTTTTTCAGTTTTGCTAAATTTAATTTGGCCTATATTTATTTGAAATTTATGCGCCAATATTTCCCCAGCAATGACAATTTTTCTCTCCTCCTCTGCCAACGCAAGTGTCTATTACTTTGCACAAATTTATGTTGCTCGCTGTGCCAATTGCTTAAAGTGCGCAGTGCGCACATCAATTGCCCAACAAATAAAAGAAAAAAAGATCAAGCTTAATTAACAAAAACAAAAACTCTACTTGTCTCTAAACTAAAGCAATGTCATCCATATTCGCTAGCATAAAAATAAAAAAGAAACTCATGGAAGCCGGCAAGCCGCTGTAAAAGATACAGTTCACTGCCTATTTTGCTGTTTTTTGTTGTTGTGTGTTTTCGCAAAAAGCGCACAACAACTGCAACAAATGGGAAGTAAGCTTAAGCAATATGGTGGCATGATGACCGTTGTTGAAACTTATTTTTATTTATTTTTGACGTGATTTTAGTGTTGCGTTGTGGATATTTTATGGTACGTTGTTTGATATATAGCTATGTATGCATGTATTATATATTTTGCATATATGTACGTTTGAGTTATTAAATATATGTTGCTTATTGAACTGTTTATTCATAATTTGGCTGTAGAAAAATATTTGTTTTGTAAAAGTAATTTTTTTGGTTGTAAAAATTTCGTTTTTTTGTTTGCAATATTTTGTTGTTTGAAATATTTTGAAATAATAAAGTTATTATTATAATTTTTTTATTTACGAAATAATGCATTTAAATATTTTTACCATCATCTTTTATAATGGTTCAGTTAAATTTTTTGACTCAAATCTACATAGTCTTATTTTTAAATATTTGATATCTATTTTATAGTATGTTTTCGAGAAATTTTTATACCAAAACTTTTTTTGCAAGTTTTTCTTCAGAATGGAATAGTTTTTAAAAATACCACAAAACAAAAAAAAAGCCATTTTTTAAGAAAGGCAATTTTTTTATAAATATTTTGGAACGTTTCTCTTGAAAATAAAACAATTTTACATAAATTAAAGAAATCTGCCTTGGCATATTAGAGTCGATTTTAACAAAAATTCACTGAGGCAAGTAGTTGGATGATAAATCGTACCAAATATGGCATTAGTAGCTGAAATATTTTATTAATATATGAAATTAAACTAATTTTTTTGCTTTAAAAATCATGTAAAGACGCGAAAGTATTGCTGTTAAGAGCGTTTTGGGATGGCATTGGACGAGAAAGAATGGAAAGAGAGTTTCGTTAATAATGTAGAAAGAAATTTCGAATGCGTCTAGTACTACGCCTATCAAAATGTAGAAGAAAAAAATATTTATAAAAACTTAGTTAAAATTTTACCATTGGTTGCACTGAAGCTATAATACCCTTTCCAAATAAAAAAGTTTACATACCAAAATGTAGTTTTATTCAGTCAGTTTGTAAGAGAGCTATATGCTATACTGATCCGATCTGAACAATTTCTTCGGAGATTACACTATTACCTTTGACAATAGTCTATGTCTAATTTCATAACGATATCTTGTCAAAGCAAAAAGTTTTACATAGAAGAACTTGAATTTGATCGTTCAGTTTGTATGACAGCTATATGTTATGGTGATCCGATATTGGCAGTTCCGAAAAATCAGCTGTTTCTTAGGGAGAAAAGGATGTGTGCAAAATTTCAGTATCTCAAAAACTGAGTGATTAGTACGCGTTAATACAGACAAACGGTAAGACAGACAGACAAATCGGTTAGACCTATGACTTGGCTACTCAAGCCATGCCTTTAATTTCCTGTCAAGCATAATTGATCATGAAAAAATTTTATTAAGGAGCTGCATGCCATTTAGTCAACATAAAATACGGACTTTGAACTACTAGTAAGAGTGGGTTTATACTTTAGATTAGATTAAATTGGCATTAGAATTAAAAAAATCTTGATTAAAAGTTAAATATCTGCGTCTATTAAGCTGAAAACCTCATTTAAAATCACGTTATCCAAATATTTAGCTAAACATTCAAAAGACTTAAGCGACGAACTTGATCATCGATACAACAATTAATGAGTACTACAGTTCAATTTTTATGTTTTTGCAACTATTTCTGTACCAAAAAAAAAAAAAAACAAAAACCAACACAACAACAATAATAATAATAAACCACATAATTTGCGTGCTAATAATGCAGCAACAGCTTTTCACATCGATGCTAATAGATACCAAACTGTGAAAGACTATAAAAGTGATACGAAATTTCATTGCAAATGGGGGAGTAAATTTCAAATATTGCCAAATATGGTGCCAAGTGACAGCATTGGGAAAAACGTATATACCACCAATAACAACAACAACGAAGGCACTAAAGGTAAAACATATGCGCTCATTTAGATTACCACACAGCTGTTTGGGCTGAGGAAAGCTATGGGTTGTATAAGTTTGAGTGTGTGTGTGTGTGTGTATACCAGATGCATACCGATGAAATGTGTAACATTATATAGTTATTTATTAAACTGGCATTAGGTTGATGAAACCGTTGGCGTCACAATTGATTTATTTCGTGAATTAGTGGTTACTTTTTCAGAGCTACTTTTTAGAGCAAAGTGCTATTGTTGTTGGTTTGATAGAAAAAAATTAAATATGCTCTGATATAAGCTTATATTGGCTTATTATTTCAGCGAGTGTTAGGCAAGAGTGTTGTATTTTTTATATGACGAAAAAAAACGCAATTTTCTATCCAACGCTTAAATGTGTCACCTGTCGCCTATTGTTCTGCCACAACGCGCTGGCAAATAAGTTGTGTGAAAAACTTTATTTACATTGCACACATTTTTTTCAGCTTAGAAATTTTGCAAATTTTTTTTGTTTTGCTGCTCATTACATAGTTGTACCCACAACTTCTCGGCGCAACTTAGCAAACTGCTGTTTATTTATAATTGCAGATGTTGCTTGTATATTTTTTTATACCTAGCAATATTTTATGGTAATCTGGGAACCCACAATCAGGCTGCGTAAGAAAACAAAAAGCTTATGAAGTAATATGGGCGAGTATTACGCCCAGCGGCGTATTTGAGTGCAGCAATTGAAGGTGAGAGGTGTTTCAGTTGGGCGTTTGGGAGGCTGTTGTTATGGGGCTTTACTTTATTTGAGGCTAAGGCGCTGTAAAGTGAAGATTTGGGTAGTGGTGGGAAGTTGAAGAATATTAGTGAAAATAAAAACAATGAAATAGAAGAGTTCGCACACAAATATGCAGGTGTGGAGAAGCATATGTGAGCTGTATGGTAATTTGTAGAGGAAATTAATCTTGATGATTTTTTTTACAGGAATGATTTTGTGGAGTGTTGAAAACATGTATTTTAATTAAGTTTTAAATAAAAATATTTCAGTCTTGTCTTCACATAAAGTAAATTAATTGTTTTATATTAACTGATTTAACACATAAGTATCTTTTGCAATGTCAGTCTTGATAAATTAGCTTTTATGTTGTATGTATTTTTTATAATATTTTTATACACCTTTCTGGGATCTCAATTCATAATTTATATAAAAAAGAGATTATTTTTTTTAAATTTTCAATCGAAGTGGTAATATTTTTTTTTTAATATTATATTTATTATTGTTAATTTATATTTATTATGCACGTGCACGACATAGTTTTAACCGTAATAAATTATGTAATGTCGGAGACAATATTTTATGGATAATATATCTTATACATGCAGTAATTACTAAGCGATTTGATTCGTCCTCAAACGCCCTTATTTATTGTTAAAAAATCAAAAATTAGTTCAATATGAAAACTTTAAGCTCATTCGAAAGCTTTTCGGTAACTAAAAAGTATTTACTGTTAAGCAGAAAATAGTTGGAAAATAATGAAATGGCTCATTTAATGATTGAGAACCAGAATTATTTTAATATCAAAGCTTTAAGCTTATTCAAAAGCTTTTCAGTAACTAAAGATTATACATTGTTTGGACAAGCAATATTTAAAAAATGGTTTTAGTGCATTTTGAATCACCTGATATTTATTTGCTTACAAACTGTCCTTTTTTCCTGTTAGAAACTAAAAATTATTTCAGAATGAAAATTTTAAGCTCTTCCAAAAAATTTTGGGTAATCGAAAAGTATTATTTTAATATCAAAGCTTTAAGCTCATTTGAAAATCTTTCGGTAAATAAATAGTGTCTATTGTTAGACTGGAAAGAATAGGAAAATATTTTTACTATTTTTGTATTATCGAAAAGAACAAAATGCGATTTTTACGTCCAGAAGAAAGATGTTATAGTTGCAGAAAGCTTTTGAAACTCTTTCGATATTAATTCGAAGGTAGTTTCAACATTATAAAATTTCTGTAAATTCACATATCAAAATACCGTAAATGAAACTAAAATTATAAATTTCGTATGCTTTGAACAAAATTATTGAAGTAAAGTAGAAAAATCGTAAGTCGAATTTTTAATTTTAAATAAACTACTTTTAAAAATGAAAAAAGTATTATTTTGAAATCTTTTAAATATATTAATTATTATTTTTATTATGGTCAGTTATATGCTCGAAAAATATTCTAAGTCGGCATGTGCACTTTTTCTTTTTAAACTTAGCTATTACTTTGTATATACTAAAACTTTTGTTGAACCTCTGAACTGTGCTCTGAAAGTGCCCAGCGTTCACATCATTGCATCGCAGAATTAACAGGAAATTGCAAATTATTTCTATTTTGAGAAAAAAAAGCGCAAAGAACAAAGTGTTCGACTAAAATAAATTATTTATAAGTGAATAACAAAAAACCGAGACTTTCATATATAACTAGATAAATGAGTTAAACAGCCGTGAGATGCCTAGGATTGTCACGTTGTACTAATAAAAACAGATATAAAACACATAACCTATATTGATTTTCTCGCTGATCTCGTTATTATTATAATTGCATTTATATTCTGAGCACTTATGTATGAGTGCTTGCCTTGTGGGAAAATAAATGAGTAATGCTAATTTGTGCGGCGACAATTAAAGTGACTAAGGCATATACTCTAATTACAATAGTATACATATACAGTGATATGGCTAAGGCGTACCTATATAGCTTAAAACACCACTATGAATATATATAAAAAGTATATATATATATATATGTATGTGCCTATGTTTGTGAAGGTGTGTGAATTACTCGCTGTAGGTGGTTATTTCATTTGCATTTTTGTACTCATTCCATATTAGTAATGATAATCATTCTTATAGTCTGCTTCGACTGTTTCGTCTGGGCGAAATTTGAGCATTTGATTATTGATGATATGGGCGTGGCGTCGCAACAACTTCACCATGCGATATGTGTTAATGCCTGTGCAGGGAAAATGATGGAAATGATGAAGATGCAAATGCTGTCGTTACTATTTTTGTAATGAATAAAGAATACTAAATGATTGAAGTTGACAGTTTAAGTATTGAAACAGGTGGGGGAACTATGGAAAATTATTCTAAGAGAGTGCTTATGGAAGTCCTTAAGTGAGTAGTTGGTTATGGATGCTCTATTTGTAATGGAAAATGTATAGAGATTTGGATAGTGGACTTAAAACGGCAGACCTTAGTATGTGTTAGATAGAGAGAGGACTCATTATATGAAAAAGTAGTAGTAAAAATCACAAATTTCCTCTAAATTACTATTCTATAAGAGTTTGTGTAAAGAGTAAGCTTGGTAACTACTTTTAAGTAAGAAAATAATATATTAGTCAGTCAGTTACTTTGGGGTTATTTAGGAACTAATTAACAGTTTTCTTGATTTTTTTTTGCGTTTTTCACCAATTGCACACTTACCATACGGCGCTGGTGCTGGCACAACAACCGGCGCTGGCGCAACATGCTTCACCACAGGTGCTGGTTCGTAATGTGGTCCAGGTACTAACGCTTGTGCATGCACTGTAGGCCCAGATTTCGTGACAACAGCGTTGAAACCATTTATGGGATCGGCAGTATAGTCGACTGTGCGTATAGAGCCATCAGGTTCGACAAGTGAATATTGACCTGAAAGGAAAAAAGATTTTGTATGCAAATTCGCTTAATGCTCAGTTAGCTTTGGGTTAAAAAGTTGTTCAAGCAACTTTCTTGTATGTAATTTGGAAAAATTATTTTGAAAATTAAAAAAAAAATGTTGGGAGTTTTTTTGAATTTTGAGATTTTATACCTTAAACTTATTACTTTGGATTAGAAAATTTTGAAGCAAGTATATTTGTTTGAAAAAAAATATGTTGAAAATTTTCAACTCAAACAAAATTTTTTTATTTATTTTTTGAATTTTGAGTTTATATACCTTTAACAACATCACCATCGCGTGTTTCATGTTGTGACTTCACATCACCAGTTGTGTGATCGGCTACACCATAATTGAATGCATATTTGGGATGGTTCTGTGGAAAGAAAAAGTCAATATTTTATAAAATTAAAATTTCTCTACAATTTTCAAAAAGATTGGGCTGTTGTTTATGCTCATAAGATATTGAAAAATGTCGATTTCGAATTAATAAAATAAGATTATTCTATTTTATATCTATTCTTCATTTCAAAAACCATAACTATTAAAAAATTGTTACTTTTATACATATTTCATTTACAAATCTGAAAGAAATTAAGCTAAATATTATAACTAATTAAAAGAAAATGATTTTGAATTTCACTTATAATTCTGAGGTATAAATGTATGAATATATTTGGAAATTTCAAAACTGAAAAATTTTTTAGATATATATTTATTAAAATATTTTTGAGATTAATAAATAACTGAAAGAAAATAATTTTGCTTTTTTTTCGAAAATCATTTCATATTTCTCAACAAAAAAATACATGTCGGAGCATGTCGGAGCATATTAAAAATCTTCAATTATTTAACGGCTACGTTTTTAATTTTTTTTTATATACTTGTAGAATTAAAAAAATTAAAATAGATTTACTCATGAAGACAATGTTTTGAGTTTTTTGATAAATTTATTACTTTTAACATTTTTTTTAAATTCTGAATATTTCTGAAAAAAATTCGAAAGCTATTTTTGTAATTATTTTCCCAAAATTGATTTTGATGTTGAAAAGAAAGAATAAAACATCTAAATTGATCTTACTAATGAAAAATATACTGCGTAATTTTAAAAAAGTTTATACATAATGTTTTGAAATTTGAAATTTATATATATATTTGGAAAAAAAAAATTCAGAAAATTTAGCGAATTTTGTTTTTTACAAGAAGGACATTAACAAGAAATAACACCAAAAAAATTTCCGTTTAAACTTTGAAAGTTATTTCTGTTACTACATTTTATTATATTTTATTAATTTTATTTAAAAAAATTGTTTAAACTTATAATTCAGCACATCCATTCTGGTAAGTCACACCACTGCGTATACGCAACTTGCTTAATGTCCAAAATTTCATAAATTAACACACACTCACATAATAGTCGACAGCGTATCCTGGTCGCGCCAACACAGCGCTCGCATAGAAGGCCATCGTGAGAGCCATTATACACTTCAGGCTTGCCATTTTTCTAATGAATTTGTTTACTCTTCGTTAAACGCTTGAAAACACAGGGTAACACTAAGGTTGCACTTTTTTCGTGAGATTGCAAGGAGAGGTTTAAGGGTTTTTTAAGATTTGCTAAAAATAAAAATAAGATATTTTTTCAATAAATTTTAGTTGAACACACAATAAACTATTTTTAAAATCAATTTGCATGCTAAAATTATAAAGGAAATTCGCACTTTAAGTATTTCGTTGGCACCGCCGAATTGCACACTGCTGAATTGCCCGGAATACTGTGCCGATTCTGAGATCAAGTTTCCGTTAAATACACAAAACAAGCGCGCGGTCGCCTAGAAAACGCAACGCAGCCAATAAGTGAGCCAGTAGTTGGTCACATGCAGGCACCGCGCAGCAAACGTCAGCGGCGTGGCGAAGCAAAAACAATAAGCATTTCGCGTTGGCTGCGGTTGCGCTGCTCGTGGCTATGCTTGCGGCTGTTAACGCGGCTTGACTTGCGCCTATCGACTTCGGCGTGTTATGCATCTGCTCGGAGCAATGTTGGACGCGCGTTCTATTGTTCGCTATGCCGGTATTGCTGGCGGCTCTGTTAGCGTCAAGCCAATGCATAGCTTTTGCTTGTCATTCGCCGAAGCGTGACAGTGCGCTCTGAGCTGAGGCAATTCTCTAGGCACTCATTGGTAATTAATATGTCATGTTTTTCACCACAATGCGGTGTGTGGTGAGTTAGTATATGAGTTATCTTCGCGGCTGCCTGGTTTGTTACACTTTGTTGCTGCATCAGCTTTAGTTTTACACGTTGAACATCTGTCGTTGTAGTTGTTGCAGATTTTATTATCACAACGAAATGTGGACAGTGGGAGCGAAAGGGTGCTTGATATGTACATATATGTGCCTGTATGATATCCACACTAGTTTGCGTATGAACTATTTTAATGTCTGTGGTGATATTTTTGCAAAATTACATTGCTGCTCGATATGTCAGATTTGCAATATTTTTATTTGTGTTACAACATTGTCTGGGTCATGTCGTACATAGAAAATATTTCTTTAATTATTTCTTAAAACATATTTTGGTTGTTGGGCTTTTTTGTTATTTTTGAAAATAAACAACTTAATTCAACAAAGTTCATAAATATATATTTCATTTGTATAAGCAATGAAATTTTATGGCGTTTAACGGATGAAAGTAACACACCAATATAAAATTAAATGGAGTGAAAATCATTTTTTTTTTTAATCACAACAACTGTTAAGTTTGTAAATATTTACATATATGATATATACATAGAACTAAATGCTAAGTCATCGTCTACATAAATCGGCAGTTTTTTCAATTTTGAAATATTATACAATTATCGTAAGAATTAAAAATCGTAATCCCATTTATAAGTGAATGTCGGAGACCCCACAAGGTATATATAATTAATTAACGTGACGAGCTCAGTTGATTTAGCCATGTCGGTCGGTCTGTACGTTTATGCAAACTAGTCCCTCAGTTTTTAAGATATGGACCAGAAATTTTGCAAATGTCTTTTTCCCAGCAAGAAGCTGCTCCGATGTCGGAGTCGCCGATATCGAACCACTATAGCGTATAGCTGCCATACAAACTGAACAATCGAAATCAAGTCCTTGTAAAGCAATTTAGAATCTCCGAAGGAACTGTTCAGATCGGGTCACTATAGCATATAGCTGCCATACATATCGAGCGATAGAACTCAAGTCCTTGTATGGAAAACTTTTTTATTAGACAAGGTATCTTCGCAAAATTTGGCATATAATATTTTTCAATGCATCGCTACAATCTGCAAAAAAAAATCGGACCATATAGCTACTATTTAAACTGACCGATCAAAATTAAGATAAGGATCGTTTAATGCCCTTTTATGCTATAATAGCCTTCACAAGTTTTTATTCTTCGGTGCAGAAGAAGTTGGCATTTTTTTCTTGTTTTGCACACCTAATGTAAAAATACAATATCACTATAGGCTATGGATATTATTGTAGATAAACAAAATTTCATTTTTGTTCCAAAATAATATTTATATGAAAAACTTCTTTTCTTCTTTCTTGAAGTAATTTTTTCATATAGCAAATGTATACATGCAAACAAGAAAGTCTGTTCGTTGGTAGATTGTTTGAAAGTGGAGTAGAAAAGAATGCCATAAAGTCTATCACACTTAAGCCATCTTTTGCGTGTTGTACACAATCAAACATTCGCGGGATATATTACAATTTCAATCTTTTTCCGACTTTAGTTGGTAAATTTCTTTCAGAATGAAACAATGAGAGCCGTGAAAGATACTCCATCTCAACCAAATGAAGGCACCGTATTAGCAAGAGCAATGTTCTAACGTTTCACCATTCTCTGCGCATGGCACGAATTCTCTTGTGCCTACTTTCGCTAGTTTCGGAAGATAATATATCTGGTGTTAATACTCAATGCTGACTCCTTTCATATTACTAACTTGCCTGTTTACTAAAAGTATACACTATCTACATTACACGTGGTGTTCCAAGACCTAACATCAATTGCTTTAAGTAGTCTTTGAAGGAGCTGAACGATATTGGGAAACTTAAAAAATCCCTCCTTAGTATAGCACATAAGAATATTATACTCCTAGAAGGGATACAGATCTTATTCAGTCAACTGAGTGATGTAATCAGTAGTTTTAGGTCAGATTTGAACTTCGATTTGCGTATTTTTTTAGAAGTTTTCATGAACAAATCTTAATATAAAAGCTTATGAAATATCGAGAAATTATTTTAGTAGTAATTTTTTTTTCAAAGAAGATGGTATTTTTTATATAATTACATTTTTTCTTTTTGATGGTTTAGGATATATATTTTGCTTGATAATTGAAAGAATTTTTATTAATTTGTCGAATAGTTTTTTATGTGCCATACTGCTTATATATTCATATACATTTATTTTTTTATAAAGGATTGCAAACCGGCTTAATTGACTAAGTGAAATCTTTCTGCATGACAATTATCTTCACAATGAGCGATTGGAACCGCAATTTCGTTGAAATGATTCATAAAGTAAAAAGTAAAAGTCATATTTGAATGCTAAGAATTAATTTGTAACTCTTAAGCTCAAGAGTAGTTTAGCATTATTGCCTCTAATAGAAATAAGTAAATATGTGTTATATTTGAAGAACCAACTGCCGGATGTCTATCTAGAATATTGTAATATTATTTATAGCCTATTGTCTTTTAGAACAAAGAATTTTTAATTTTTTACAGAATCTTTCAGTTACTTAGTCGTTCTGCTTTTATGTGCTTTTTTCATTAAAATTTAATACTCTTTAATTTTTGTTTTTAACTGTCAAGTGAGTAAAGTCGAACAATTACCTTTTACTTTCGCTGCTTACACGCACACAACAGACGGATGGGAAGTCCGAAGTCAAGGTTAATGCGTGACGCGAAGTACTGATTGCCAACGAAAGACTTAAGCAACAAACTCGATGTTAAATTTTCGGGTAAATCGGCTAGCTATTGTATTGTAAGACCTGCGTATTTTAATTTTCATTTCTAAATCGCACTTGAACCTAAATTATGTAAAGTAACGAAAAGTCGAATTATAAGTATAGGAAGTAATCTCTATTTACTTTCAAATTTGCTGTTCACCTGCAAATCAATTTTATTAAAAAATTATGATTTGGTGTAAACAATCACAAGCTTTAATTACACTTAATGAAAGTGAATTATGCCTAAGCTAATTGCGCAATTAATGTGGTTTATTGTGTGTTCTGACAGTTTTGCATATTGACAGGTGTTTAGAATTGAAAGGGAATTTTTTTTAATATAATTATCATATATTATAAAATGTAATGTATAAATAAGTATATTCTAATATATTAGATGAATATATTATATATAAAATAATATTCCATTTCCTTTAGCAAAAAAATCCCATTAAATTCTTGCAATTTTTGCTAATCTAATTCTAATTGCAAAATTCTAAACTACAGCAGCAATAAGCATTTAGCACTAGCATTAACGCTTCTTGCGGTTTTGCTGCTGTGCCATCGCATGCTAAATATTCTAGATATCACATACTTGTGTCTTTCAGTAACTAAGTATAAGCGTTTGCAGTCTACAACGAATTCTTGCGGCTTTGCTCGTCAAGTTCATTTCGGATTTAATATAGGGTTTAAATGCTCGTATTGTAGGTCTTCATGGGCGCTCCTGTGCGGTCGCGCGCTCAACTCCCACGGTGAAGGTTCAAGGTTTGTGCCTATGATGATATGATACCTCTACAAATATCTGCAGAGCTTGGTTTCTATGTCACCGAGTGGTGTGGCTACGTAACGTTGTCAATGTCAGCTGTGATTCTCAATTAACGAACAATAAAAAATAAAATAAGCAAATTGAAATATATACCAAGTGTTATGTGGATCTTTATTTGATTTATTGGTGAAAAAATATTTCGCGATTAAAATAGTTTCGCTTCAATTGAGATTTCTGTGAGCTTGTATTTCTCTTATAGACGGTGGTTTAGAGAGATTCTATAAGTGACTGCACTCAATGGCGTTTGATTTCTTAGTACAACTCCTTTAACACATAACTTACTAAATGATAATGTTCTTCAACGCTTTGTATATTAATAACGTTTAAGAGAATAATATTTAGGGTATTATTTTAAGTATTCCCCAATTCATTGTCGATTTCGATGGCTTAATTTTCAGGAATACATTTGAAATTTTAATTATGGTCTCTTGCACTCGACATTCACACGAAGTGCATGAATTTTAATAGAGCATTTCCTCTTCTTCCAAGAAAATCCAGCGTTGTAACAAACTGAGCTATTTATTTGCAAATTTTTCATTGTCAAATGCCGGTTGCCAGGCAATTTAAACACAGCGAGTATATTTATGAACAATTGGCAATGCGACGCATAAATTGGTCGAACGAACAAATTTCAGTTTTGCAATTTTGACAGCTATCAAAAGGCAAAAGCATATAATTGGCGTCACTTTGAAATCGAATGCGTGAATTGTAGTTTCATTATTTTGCTCTTGCTTGCAATTTATTTAAAATTAAGTGTGGCAATTGGCCGAGTGAGTGATTGTGCTTGAGCCATTGGCAATTTGCTGGTTGTGGCGGCGATGAGAAATGTCTCAATCGGAATTGCTACAATTTAATCAGCGTTCGGCAATCACGTTAAGGTCAATGTATTTTAGTCCAAAATAATAATAATAGAGTAAAAATAATAATAATAAAATATAAAGAAGTAGATAAGATTGGAGGTATCGTGTGTGTGTTAAGCATACATTAAAATTTTAAGACATGTATTT